CCGCGGATCCTGCTTATGGGGCTGCGGCGCAGCGGGAAGTCCTCCATCCAGAAGGTGAGGGGTAGCCGGCGGCCCCCCGCCCCCGTCTGCCGCGCTGCCTCTCTGGCGCCGAGCTCTCTTCCCTTTCTGCGTTGCTGTTTAGGCAATTTCTGCTTTTTAATGTGGGCGCATGTGGCGAAGTTGGAGCGAAAGGAGGCCGCTGCTTAAAGACGCTTGCTTCCCAGAACGGACTCCGATCATCTGCCCTAGAGAGGAAGGTGGTGTAGCATAGGTGGTAGCCTTTGTAGTTCTTCACTTTAACGCTTCAAAAATAAAATGTGAAGATACGGGTGTCAAATTTATCATGAGGCGTTTTCTTACAGATGTGAAAGCACCGTGAGCCGTACAGGTGTGTGGTGTTTAGCACTTCCGGTCGGAAGAAGACTTGAGTGGTTGTTCTGCCGTTTGATCCTTTGAAAGAGACTTCTGCTTTTGCATGAGCAGAAAGGCAGCCTCTGGTTTCCCTTAGTATGCTAGACTGAGCAAACGAGGGTCGCTGGTCGAGGAGGAAATAAAACAGTTTTGGTGCCTTAGGTTTGTTGGGAGCTTCATGAAGTCGCTAGTGTTTCTAAATAAAAATAAGACAAAACTGACTCTTTTCATCTGCCACGTAGCTCAGGAGAAGTGTAGTGCTAAGAATGATCCTTGTTCCTCAGTGCAAGTTTTGTATTTGCAGTCCCTATTATGAAGTTTTTAGGTGATATTTATATAGGAAGGCTTTACTAGTGAAATGCGGTGGTTCTCAAGCTCTAGACTCGGGGGCCTCAAACTTTCTTCAAATGCAAGCGTGGAAACCTTCAGAGATTTCTGTAAAGGTTTTATGCGGAGAAGTCTTTTTTGGACGTTGCAGTACAGCAGGTATAAATCTGCTTCTTTTAGCCATCTTACGCAGACTACTTGGTAATCCGTAGACTGTACTAGACCAATGGGTTCTAAACTGTAGACTGAAGACTCCTGTCTTTTGCTGTAGGCTTGCTTTTCTTTAGACAAGGTTTGCAAAAGGTACCCTATCTGTTAGTGAGCATTTTTTTCCATTGTGCTATTCTGAAATACAGTGGCAGACTGGGCTGTCATTGCTTTTCAGTCTTTTCAGTTATTCCCCATTATTTAGGCCTAATGCCCCCACTGTATGTGCAAATGCATTGATTGCACTGAAAGTCTTTTTCTAAGTCTCTAGTCATGTGAACGGCACTCACTATAGACTCTCATTAGAGATCTTATTGTATTATCGACAGTTGAAAGAAGTGAACCCTAAAAGCTAGAGGGAAGCAGTAACTCCAAATTGCAGCTAGATTTTAAGACTTTACAAGTCACTTTATAGATGTAGCTTTTGGACTTTTTTTTTTTTTTATGACCAAGGTTGGTAGCATCAGTTCTCTGAGGACCTATTCAAGTAGTTGTACAGGAAAGGAACAGTGTGATGTTGAGTATGTAATAAGAGGACATAGAATTTATCTTTTGCCGATCGGTTGCCGATCTGGCTTGGGAATTAGAAGCTGTGGTTCTGTTACCTAGGAGCCCATTGTGCTGCTGCCTGAGCGAACTAACTGTGGCAATAATTTGAGACACTCCTGGAGTATGAAGAAGTTTCTCTTCAACAGCATCCCTGGTCTTAGATCTGTCTAGTCCAAAAATGGTCATTACCAGACCTGATCCTTCTGTCTGAGCATTAGTTGTTGATCACCTTGCCAGAGAGTAGTGTATGCATGATACACACTGAATCGGGGAAAAGTATTGGCTTTGTGGGAATCTAGAAATTTGTCTGAAAAACATGAATTATTAAACCATTCCAGCCTTCTACTGAGAGCAATATTAACAGGAGGCCTCTCACAAAAGCAAAAATGATGGTGCTGGGGAGGAACTCTTTTTTCCCTTGGACAATTGGATTTTCCGTACTGGTATAACCTGTGAATGTTCAGTAGCAAACTGAGGTTAGAAGATTTTGGGAATGTGACGATTGTTTCAGTTTATAAAACAAATTTTTGTGCAGACTTAAGACTTGCGTAACTGGACTTACTGTACTGTTCTTATGTAATAGGAACCTGGAAAGAGTTCAAACAGAGTACCTGATTTTGGTTTTTTTGGGTGTGTGGTTTGTGGTTTTTTGTTTGTTTGTTTTGGTTTTTTTTTCTCATGGCCACCAGACTTGCTGCTCTGCCTTCTTAAGATTAGCATAAATATATTATTGGGGGAGGAATTTGTGTGCGTGGTAGAACCTAAAGCAGCAGCTTGTTTGGAGCTGCTGTAAACCTTTCATTTATACTCATTTTTCTTTAAAGGTGTTAAATAAATGAATTGAATTAGGGGAGTAGGGAGTCAGAACTAGCTGTCTGTCATGCTTCTGTAGCATGCTCTAATACTTAGAAAATCTCACAGCAAGTTGTAATGTAGTGCTCCTAATAACTAATGAATTTCTTTAAAGACTTGTCTGTCTTGTCTTCCTTTTGCTGTAGTTACCCTCTTCCTTTGTCACCCCATACCCCCCAAACCTCTCCTCTGAAAACCAGCTGCTACTTCTGAGACTTCATTATAGCAGCTTAAGAAATCACAACATTAAAGCAAAGATTCTGGAAAGCATGAAAATGGAAAAAATGGATGTACATCTTACTGCTGTTAGGGAATCCTTTGGAAGTTGCTTTTCATGGTAACCTGTGAAGCAGCTGTTCGCTTCCAATTAGTAGAGTCTCAACACCATCTTGCAATACCGTACCTTTTCTCTCTCTTTTCAGGGACCTCCTTCCATCTGCCTGTGCAAATTCCTTTCTGGACATCAGGGCAATAGAAATAGTCTAATATTACCTCAAGAAAAAAAGGGGTTTACTATGACTGGAAAAAAAAATGGAGTTTGAAAACCCATTCTGCATTTGGATTTGTAGGTAAAGGTGCCTATTTTTATGTGCAGAATGATCCTGTGCTGCAGTGGGGAGACTGGTTGTTTATGAAGGGCAAATTGCCTGCTTCGGCTGTACAGACTTCATTGAGGCATGCTTTGTGCTGGCTTGAGACAACTCCCAGTGAAGGGTTCTTACCTTTGGGTTACTTGCATTGTGAAGATTCTTAGAAAAGTTCTGGCTCTGGTTGTTGCTTCCCTTCTGAGGAAAAGGATGTAGATTTCTCAGATATAAACCAGTTATTCATATTTGCAGACAAAGTGTCAAAAAAAAGGGAAGCTATCCTAGATTTGTTACTTTCTCAGCAACTTGCAATTTTCTGTGCTAGATATTTTTCTTGCAGTTTATAGGTGTTGCTACAATGTACCCAGTAAGGTGTCTTGCGGTGTCAGGTTATATTTGATCATAAGCTCTTGTAGTAGGGATATTGTGGAAGTCATGCTTGTCACTTGATGTATAGGATTATTGTTTGGTGGTCTGGGAAATTTTTGTTTGTATGGGTCAGGCCAACATTTCAGCTGGAAGTGAAATTCTGAATGCGGCTGTTCTCTGATTTGTAAAAAAAACCCCAACCCCAACAAACACCTCCCTCCCCCCCCAAAAAAAACCCAAACCAAAAACCCAAACACATGCTTCCCTGGGGAGTCCATTCAAAGTTTAAGGTAGTGGGAATGAATATGTTGGACAAATTCAGCTCGTGGGCCCAAGGAAGGGTAGCTACTTGAAAATTGAGACAGTAATTGCGAATTAAAAAAAAAAAACAAACCCCAAAACAAAAAATCAAAAACCCAAAGAAAAGGTTTGGAGGCGGTTCAGAAATACTGCATCAGGAGTGCAGCTTAACTGCTGCAATTAAAAAATAAACCCAAGTGCCGCTGTAGAGGAGTGATTGTAGAGAAAAGCTTGACATGTCAGGAAATAAAAAAAAAATCCTGAAAACTCAAAGATCGCAGCAGGTCAAATGTGAATGGGAAATTCAGAGGGATAAAAAGAAAAATCTGAAAGAAAGAGTGTTCAAGCTGACAGTGAAAAGTTCTTAAAATATGGTAAAAGCAGGAAGTCGATGAGACCATTGGATGTTGAAGGTGTAAAAGGAACACTTGGCAATGATAAAAGCCATAGCAAGGAAACTCAGCGGATTCTTAGAATTTTACTAGCTTTGTCTGCTCTGCCTGCATATGCCTAGTCAAAATTGCTGGGCATCAGTGTTACCTGCGTGCTTCCAATCAGATGCTTCCACAGCCTTTTTATTTGCTTTATTGAAGCTATGTAAAGCGAGTAAGAGTGGGGGTAGATGCTAGGCAATAGAAATGGAATTTGATCAAAACTGTGTCCTGGTTCCCCTATTAGTATAAAAAACAGATGGGGAACATCAATCTGACGTTAACATGCTGCTTTGGGAAGGAAGGGAAAGGGGGATGATGGCGTTGCTTCTCAGAGACTCATCTGCTTTAAACTGGAGTCACTAATTCTGTCCTGCTCCCTGTGGGAGACGCTGAGTGCCAAAGAAAGAATGTTGATTTCAGAATGCTTTGAAATGGTCGATGATAACTTCCTTCTCCAAGTGGTAGAGGAGTCAGCGAGGAGAGGTGCTATGCTGGACCTTGTTCTCACCAACAGGGAGGGGCTGGTGGGGAACGTGAAGCTCAAGGGCAGCCTGGGCTGCAGTGACCATGAAATGGTGGAGTTCAAGATCCTTAGGGTACCGAGGAGGGCGTGCAGCAAGCTTGCTACCCTGGACTTCAGGAGAGCAGACTTTGGCCTCTTCAGGGATCTGCTTGGTAGAGTGCCATGGGACAAAGCCCTGGAGGGACGAGGGGCCCAAGAAAGCTGGGTAATTTTCAAGGATCACCTCCTTCAAGCTCACGAGCGATGCATCCCAACAAAGAGGAAGTCGGGCAAAAATGCCAGGAGGCCTGCATGGATGAACAAGGAGCTCCTGGACAAACTCAAACACAAAAAGGAAGCCTACAGAGGGTGGAAGCAAGGACAGGAGGGATCAGGTTAGGAAAGCTGAAGCCCTGACAGAATTAAATCTGTCCAGGGATGTCAAGAGCAACAAGAAAAGATTGTACAGATACGTTGGGGATAAAAGGAGGACGAGGGAAAACGTGGTCCCTCTCCGGAAGGAAACGGGAGACCTGGTTACCCGGGACACGGAGAAGGCGGAGGTACTCAATGACTTTTTTTTGCCTCGGTCTTCACCGGCAAGTGCTCGAGTCTCGCCGCCCAAGCCACAGAAGGCCAAGGAGGGGACT